AGTCGAAAAATTCCCCTGTTTTATTTAAAAAGAATGCGTTGTCTCCACTTTCCTAGCCAATCTATGACTGAAAAGTGGAAGAAAGCGTTCTTCACTTTACAAGCGCTTTACATTCTGCCTTCAGAAAATTTGTTCCTATAACCAATTAGCCGATCCGTGTTCAAAATGCTTTATGGTTTAATGAAGGATTGAACAAATAAGAAGACTAGATTATTCAAGCTCTATAAAAAGTCCAGATATCTAATTGACATTACTTCGAATCCGAAGCCATTCTATATATTTATTTGTTAATTCGAAACGTAAGACTTTTTGGTTTCCATCCTCTATGGAAATGAATGATGAAGTCTATAACGTTTGTTACAGAATCGCAGATATGGTCGCAACCTTTTTGGAATCTATTTATGTGCCGACACAAGTTTAATATCCCTATTAGTGTACTTAAATTTTGTGCCGAATCTCTATATATACCATTAACGAACATATTTAATGCTTCATTAAAACAAAATTTATTCCCTTCTTTGTGGAAGGAGTCATACATTGTACCTCTACATAAATCTGGTAGTAGATCTTCAATAGGGAATTACAGGGGGGTAGTAGATCTTCAATAGGGAATTACAGGGGGATAGCAAAATTATGTTCTATCTCCAAAATTTTCGAAGCTATTATAACTGAACAACTAGCCCATTCAGTGTCATCAATTATAGACATCTCACAACATGGGTTTTGCAAAGGTAAATCTACCATATCGAGCCTGCTAGAATTCACCACCTATGTCAGCAATGGTTTCAAAAATGGTAATCAAACAGATGTTATCTACACTGACTTCAGCAAAGCATTTGACAATGTCTCTCAACATTTACTTCACTTTAAACTCGAACATTTCGGGTTTCCAACTTTTCTTCTCAAGTGCATTTCATCGTACTTGATTGGTAGAAAACAAAAAGTAATTTTTAAAAATTGTACATCACGTGAAGTAGCAGTAACATCTGGTGTTCCTCAAGGCAGTGACCTCGGTCCCTTACTCGTGGTGCGATGCGAACTGTATATCCCTAAATTTAAATAAGTGCAAATATATGTGTTTCGTAACACTGGGGTCGTCGTAAAAAAAAGACTACACTTCTACCCGACCTATTTTAAAAAAAAATCTTATTTATGGATCAAATTACTTGAAATCTGGTACATAGGTGACCATTTATTTAGAGTAACAGGAAGACAACTCTTCTCTCCGAGAAGTGGACCGAGGCCTTGCCTATTCAAAAGGTCGGACTATTTCTATCTCCGGGAAGTGGACCAAGGTCAAAGGTAAAACCAATAGCTTTTGTATTCTCACAAGTATTAAGTAAAAGATATCCCGTTATTAATCTTTAATACGTTCAATGACTATATGCGAAAGAGAAGTGTTGCTGTACCCTGCTAGTCTTATATATTTCAAAAATCTTGTGGTGGCATACTTAAGTTACAACCATCAGTTTTCTTTTCGTCAATCAAAAAAATTCCGATGACAATTGTTCGCCACCAGAGTAGGGCTAGGGTTGGGAGTAAGTGCTAACCTTACAAATTTTGAAATAGAGATATCCGCTAAAATATGCAAATGCAATTTGCTCTACTTCTACATAATATATTTCATTTAAATGTCCTAATCTGCTTATGTTAAAAGAATGTTTAGGTCTTGGAAGACCTCGGAATTCCTGTCAAGACAAATCTTGTATTAAGTTAACACTGAACGCGATAGGATTATGTGATTGGAATTAACGAGAAAAAAATTTCGCTTTTGGTGATGGGTTCACAATTTTCTTCTACTACATTTGTGTTATTTTTAAGAAAATTACTAAACATGTAAGGAGTTATCCTTACACTATGTCCACCGTATAAAATAATGTATTAATAAATAAAATATATTACGCGGTTTGTAAAAAACTGAGAGAGAAAATTAAGACAACTAACCTGAACTATAAATCGACTGCATTCTCGATGCAAATGGCCTCCCAAATAAGACAGCAATTTTTGAAAGTTTTTAGGCGAAATATGCGCATCTGTAAGTTTTGGCCCACAACGGATTGAATTGTGAGAATCTTTGTGGCAAAAGTGAATTATATCAGACCAAATTATGGATGGTTTTCTGCAACTCCCAATACTCGCGCGAGGTTAAATAAAATGGATCCCTCATCACAAACAATACGAAAAGGTATAAGACCTATATTTTTCAATTAATTCATTGCCTCCAAAATATATTTTTTGGCAACATCCATTAGCAAGAGCCAATCGCCATCGTTCCATCGTCTACGGTATTCGCCGCTGCCAATGCGCAACGGGCCATAAATCGCATGGAAAACCATTCTCTCGAAAAACTACTAACACCGACTCATCAGATGTTGTCATCGTCCATGCTTCCGCACCATACAGCAGAACGGGATCGACGAGGACTTGTAGAGCTTGGGTTTTGTTCGTTGGTTCAAAGTAGCACCTGTTGACCAGAGTAACTCTGCGCTGGTTTTCAAGGCTGACAACATTATTGGTGTTGATGTTGGTTCCTAAATAGACGAAATTATCTACGACATAAAAATTGTGACTGTCAACAGTGATGTGGGCGTCGAGTAGCGAATACGATAGCTGTTTGTGTGATAACAGCAGATATTTCGTCTAGCCCTCGTTCACTACCAGACACATATCCTTCGCTTCCTTATCTCACTCGATATTAAAGAGAATTATCCCACGATGATTGGCGTAGACTGTCCCCTTTTTTATGGATTGGGCCGAGCACACTTAAATTTCGATCGGCGGGCATGCTTTCTTCCGAGCATATTCTACAAAGTAGCTGATACATACACCTTGTCAGCTCTTCACCGCCATGTTTGAATAGCACTCCCGGTAGGTAGTCAGCTTCCGCCGCTTTGTTGTTTTTTATTCAAACTTCTTCATGGTCTGGTTATGGAACGTGTTTTCCAACGTCGATTGGGGTTTCGGGTTCACCATCTCCGGATTATCCATAATCACTAGTATTCAGCAGGCTGCAGAAGTGTTCCCTCTAAAAATTCAATATATTGTGGGCATCGGTGCCTGGCTCACCTCTTTGTGGCCTACAAGAGTCTGCTCCGGTCTTGAAACCTTCTGTAAGTCGTCTTATCTTCTCATAGAGTTTTCGAGTATCACCCTTGTCGGCCAGCTTCTCTAGCTCTTTAACGCATGCATCTCGGCATCTTTCTTTATTTGTCTTTATCTCTCGGTATATAACCCGTCCCGCACGTGTTGAGGTCCATCGCAACGCGTTTTTTGCAACTTTTACGAAATCCAATAGTTTCGTTTGCAGCTGTACGTAAAGAGCTTGTTACTGATGTGTGCTCTCAAAGAGCAGGAGTGCAAGTCGATTAGAAAGTCGTTCAGCAGTATGTTGTGATTGCATCTTTTCAACGTCCAACTTTCCTTGTGCTTATTGACGGACGTTCTCCGCTACACAGAGGTGCCTGCGTATCTTCGCTGCAACAGGATCGTGGTCCGAGTCAATGTTGGATCCTCGGAGTGTACGCATGTCAAAAACACTGGATACATGTCTTCCGTCTATCCCAAAATGATAAATCTGGGTTTTTGTTTTTCGATCAGGGGACAGCCAAGTAGATTGATGCATATTTTTGTAGTGGAATTCAGTACTACAGGCAACCATATTCCGAGTACCGGCAAAGTCGATCAGCCTCAACCAATTAAGGGATGTTTCGTTGTGAAAGCTAAATTGTCCATAAGTCGTACCAAAGATACTTTCTTAGCCCACCCTGGAATTAAAATCACCTAGCACGATTTTTACATCGTGTCAGGAGTGTCATAAAAGGTGTGTTTGGCTGAATCGTCCTTATCTTCCGGTGGCGCGTGGCGCAAATCTACGATATGTTGAAATATTTCGCGGGTTGGGGCGAGACGCTCATCCACCGGGGTGAATGCCAGTATTTGACGACGGAGTACACCAAATTTGAGCTCTTTTATATGGGCGCTGTAGTAGATGTCACAAGAACTTACTCGCTTTCGTCCTTGTCCCGTCCATCGCACTTCTTCTACGGCGGTGATGTCAGCCTTTGTTCTTACGAGGACATCAACCGGCTGGGTAGCGGCACCTTCGCGTACATTCCAGATGCCCTCGAATCGTGATCCTTAATTAGTTTGTGGGGGTCGTCCACAGAAGGAGGTATCTCATCCGAAGTGTTGCTAAATTTTTCATTGGAGCTGGTTTCTTCGTGGCGGGTACCAAACCCAGAGCACAACCTCGCTAGGCGAGTAAGTTTTAAGTTTTTACACATTTATATAGGAAGCCCTTGCTTCAAGACCGACGCCCGCTCGCAGCCGCACCTCTGGTGAACAGATGCTGCAATTAGACTTCAGCAGACCCTTACACCAAATAAGTCTTAGTGGCTCCACTGAAGCTTCCTCTCCCGTTAGCCGTTACCCAAGGCTCCACACGGGTTGGTTACCGTATCTTTCGCAAGGCTTTCTTTTTCTGTAACAGCATACCCAGAAGCTTGGCTACACCCCATTTTCCTCAAGAGAATTTTGACTGAAACCCTGACTTCTACTTCTATTGTTATTTCGCGTATCACTCGGCCATCCGGAAACAAATTTGTCAAGAGCTTTCTCTTCGGAAAACCTGAAGAGAGGCTTTAGGTGTCTATACACTAGAGGGGGAAAAATTATACACCAAGGGCCAGCGTTTTAATATAGTGTTTTTAAATATCTACGACCTTGGAGAATGCGACTACTATTCTTCAACTATTATTTTATTATCGACTATATTTATGAAGATAATTTTCTGAAGCTCTCACCTTTATCACTTGTTTCTATCCTTAAATTTCTAAATTTATTTGACAGCTCTTCTTACTGGTATCTTAAGTAGCTGATTTCCTTATCTGTTTACGCCATTCTAATCTTCAACCTTTCATTTTCCTCAATTAGCTTTGCCTCTCTAAAGAGACCTGAACTTAAGCTTAAGTTTGTTTGTGTTCCTTTTTCTGAAAATTCACCTTTCACTAGTGGAAGTACTGCATCTGGAACAGTTTTAGATATAATTTTTTTTCAATTCGCATCTTCCTTTAAAAATGACGAGCACGGGCAAACAGATGTTGAGTTTTTTGTTGCGCCACTCCTAGTCGCTTCAGCCATATCAAATATCTAACAAGAAAAATTAAATAAAAAACTTTTACCACACAACCTTTATTATCAATTTACAACATTGCTACTCTCATTACTTTAACAATAAAGATCACCTAATTTGATTATTTAATTATGATTAGTAATAACGGTTATTTAAAATTATTATTTAATTCTAAACCTACTGTTAAATCAGATAAACTGGATATAAGTGTTCCAGACGCTGGAGTCGAATGTGGAGAACATTTGAAGAGAAATTTCTGGTATTTTTGTGATCATAAGGCAGGTACATAACAACGAAGCACACACTACTGGCCCTAACATATCGTACTTATCAATTTGTCGCTTATAAATCTCGAATTTTCTGTATGAATGTTGTTAGTATCGTAACATTACATATTTATAGCTAGTTATTATTTTTACTCTTGTTTTTTGTTAATCTTGCGTGTCCACATCTCTCTCGTCGCAGCCGAGTACTCGCTTTTTTCCTAAGAAAACACAGATTAAATTTTTCAATTTTTTTTTTCTTCCCACTCACTGTTTTCGAGCACACACACTGATTTTCCAATTTAATGTTTCAAACGATTGTCCGTACGAGTTTCATTGAAACATTTCTGCACTGACCAATTTCGTAAGCTAATTTGCAGTATTTTACTGGCCAGTTATTCAAAATTCTGTTATTTAGTCTTACCAATTCAGAAAAAAATAATTGAGAACCGAATTTATATGCAATTTGAGAGAGTTTCGTATATGTTGTCTTTGATGACTGTCAACATTGACGTGAAAACATAAACTTGCTTATTTGAGCACAATCTAAATAAATAAGGCACAACTAACGGTGCGATTGTCAATGCTAGTGCGCTATTGTAGAAGATTGCACATGCTGTACTTAGCTCGGCATCCTATACATATAATATTATATAAAATTTATCTCTCCGGCATTAGCCCAGCGTTTTTAGAAATGAGACTGCACTACATTACATTTCCAATTATTTGTTGTTGTAAATTTATAATGTATAACTATATCTTGTTGAAATTCGGCTCTATGCTGAAACCCATTGGAGCTGAGGTGCGCACACTTTTATAATTATGCAATCAGCCTCCAAACTGTCAACTTTTGAATTTTTATTGGAAGTCATTTCTCAATTCAAAAAAAAAAAGAGCTCGGAGTGGTTGAAATTCCATACATAGGAAAAGCTTTTCCTATAGTATAAGATGTCAGGGTTACGGCTCTTTCAGAGACCATTTTGAAACATTTTGTTGGTTATAATCAAATTGATAATGAAAAAGAAAAGCAATTTGAGATATAGGCTAATATAAGCTAAAAAGCAATGTATTGCTGTTATAATTCCTTATTAGCAATGCATCTTCAACTGTTTTACTTAACACTTTTGTTGCTTAATCTATGAAATAATTTTTTGTCCTTCTCTATCAGGCAGTACCACCCTTAGGCATGGTTAAGTAAAATCAGTAAAACTAATATCTCCAATTTCTTTTTTGAATATTTAATTCTCTCTGCTTGCCAATCATTTGTTCTAAACGGCATAGCTAATTTTTTAGCCGGAATTATCTGCAAAGAACCATTATAATTATTCTCGTTGCAAAAATAGCGCAAATTTTATAAAACAATTATTTTTGTAAGAAGTAGTGTTTTTAATTAGAGTTAAGAAAGTAAAAAGTGTTTCTAATACGGAAAGGAAATAATCGGTGAATAGAAGTATTATTAAATACCAGCTGTACACTGCAACACTTCACTGTCGCATATACTCATTTAATGTATGAAAAATTAGTAATGAAATATCATACTCGATCAAAAAATTGGGAACGAAGAAAACGAGGCATTCCAGTCAATGAGTTCATCACCACACCGAATCCGTCAATCCGTTAGAGGCATTAAAAACTCTTGCGCGCGACAGTTCAGAAGTAGGATTGTGCTACTACGCTTACATGTGTGTAAACGTATGCGATATATACGTACGTACTGTGAATTTTCTAATTTAATTGAACGAATATGCAATTAATTGTATTGCGGCTTACAAACGTTGAAAAGTGCTGAAATAAAATAGTGAACACGATTCTATTAGCATAATACGTAGCCATCGTACATAACCAAACTTTCGCGAACATCGGGGCTAGTGGACATACGTTTTGTCGCTTAGCTCAACGGTTCTAATTCGAATTTTTAGTTTCGTATCATTTGCTTATTGAACTTCGTTATTTGCACGTCTTCGTTTTCCGTATTTCATTTTGTGCCCGTAATTTTTCTCTTTGCTTGCTCGTTTCGCATGACTATTCGCTAAAGTTTTCTATTATAGTTAGAAAACTGCGAGGCAAATAATCAAAAAAAAAACAAAGAAAAAAAAACCATGTCAACTAATCTAACACTGAAAGAATTAAAGAAAAGGTGTAAGGATGCAGGTTTGCCTACGTCCTGCACGAAAAACCAACTCCTAGAAAGATTGAAAATTAATATAGTGAACGATACTGACAATAAAAGAGGCCGTGATGAAACAATGATGCAGCGTTTATCAGCTCTTGAGAAAACGATTGAAAGACTGGTAAACATGCATACGCAAACAAATACGCGAGAGATATTAATGTGCAAAATATTCCGGGCGCGTCAAACTTTCAACCAACGTTTGCTTCTTCGTCTGAGCAGACAATGTATAAAAGTGCAACAAATGTACAAGCATATGCAATAACAACTTTAGCGCAGCGAGTTAACTTTCTGCCACAGTGGGAGAGACCTAATATCTCAACTACTTCTAGTACACAGATTCCAATTGGAAATCATGGTTTCGATCCAACGAGTATCTCAGTGTTATAATATGAGAGATATTGTCGAGTTGTTACCGGAGTATAACCCAACAAGCTAAACGCCGTTAAATTCAGTGCAGTTTATAAAACGTATTGAAATGCTTAACAATGCATATAACTGGCGCGAAGATATTTTAATTTGTGCGGTACAACAAAAACTGCGAGGAACCGCATAACTATGGATTGATTCTCAGCCGTGTGTTTTCGTAAATTGGTCACAGTTAATAAATTAGTTTTTGACTGATTTTCTGTATATGTTAAATGCATATTAAGTTATCGCAAACGAAACGACATCAAACAGAATCATCGGTCGAGAATACTAGCTCTTGTTAACAAAGGTGGCTTAACAGAATCTAGCATTGCGCGACATATAGTAAATGGTGTAAGCGACAACAATTTAAAGCATAAAATATTTAACGAATACCATCGGTGCCAAGACTTGTTGAGAGATATTATTAGTTATAATGTGTATAATGATACCAATACCTGCTCACTTAAAACAAGAAACGTGTCGTCCGTAGTAAAACCACAATCTCTGAATTCGAAAACTATTACAGAACGCTCGTCCAGTATTATAAAATGCTACAATTGTGCTAAACTCGGACATTACGCTATGCATTATCCTGAGGCGCAGAAGGTGTGCTAAATGTCACCGTACATCGCATAAAATAGACGAGTGTCCCGAAAATAAAAATACAAAAGTGAATAAAATTTTAGACACTCACGCACCTAGCAAGATAGAAAATGAAGAGCGAGATAACGGGGTTATATTGAAAATTATTTGTGTAAATGGGTATGATACAAATGCTTTTGTTGATCCGGGTAGCACACGCACCCTTGTCCGCAAAACATTTGCTGAGAAAACCGGTAACTTGAAAAACGAGTTGACGACTCTAGGTATTTTTGGTGGTGAAGAATACGTCTCCACACGCAAAATAACTACAATGCTAAAAATTGATAACTACAAAATCGAAGCAGATATGGTGGTGATCAATGATGATATTATATCCGATAATGTACTTCTCGGTAAAGACGTATAAGATAATTTTATATAGGGCTTCGAACAGCAACATTCTTTCGAAATTCTCATCAAGGCGCTAATAAATGAACCCATTCTTGCTTTAAATGACGTCAATAGCCAACATGAAGTACATACTGATGCCAGTAGCATTGGCCAAGCGGGCGTATTACTACAATCAATTGACGGAGGTCCATGGCGCCCGGTTTGCTATTATAGCCGCCATTGCACTGATACAGAAAGCCGTTATCACAGTTATGAACTGGCTGTGGTTGAGACGTTAGAAAGGTTTCGCATCTATTTATTGGGGAAACAATTCAAAATCATAACCGGCTGCTCTGCGATTGTTCTGGTAAAAGAGCATAAAGAATTAAAACCAAAAATAGCTCGGTGGTGGCTCAAACTCTTGGAGTACAATTTTATTTGTGTACATCGTTAAGCTAGTCGCTTACAGCATGCCGACGGTTTAAGCCGATCGCCGAATCAACTCGCGAACGAAGTTGACCCAGCCGGATTCTTTTTCAAAGTATCCAGTGATACCAGCGACTGGCTCCTCACGATGCAACTCCAGGATTACGTGAAATTATAAACACTCAAAATGGTAAATCACCAAGTGACAACGCCATTAAAACTGAGTACCAACTACGTAATCATCGCTTATATCGTAAAGAACCCAAGTCCGTTGTTCCAAAAGGGTTACGCTGGCTCATTCTTTCCCCAAATGAGGAAATACGTCAAAAGTTATATAACAGCATGTATAAGGTATTGTTATCAGCCACAACGTTCAGGTAAACCAGAAGGTACTATGCATTTGAATTGCATCAAGCCAATTCCGTTTCATATGGGTCCATTCATTCGGAGCAAGCAAGGAAGTTCCTACGTTTAGCCATATCCGACGCATTCAGTAAATTTGTAATAGTCAAACCCGTACGCGACACAAGAACAAGCCACGTTCTAAAAACGCTTAATGAAAGGTCATCTTATTTTGGTCTACTCTCGTAAATAATCACTGATAGGGGTACGTCATTTACATCGAAAGCTTTTGAAGAGTTCTGCAGTAACCTCAATATTCACCATACAAAAGTCGCTGTACGAACACCGCGCGCTAACGGTCAAGTAGAGCGCGCAAACCAAAGCATTTTACCATTCAT